AGACTCACCATCCACTTACATAGTCTCACCATCCACTTACATAGACTCACCATCCACTTACATAGACTCACCATCCACTTACATAGACTCACCCTCCACTTACATAGACTCACCATCCACTTACATAAACCCACCATCCACTTACATAGACTCACCATCCACTTACATAGACTCACCCTCCACTTACATAGACTCATCCTCCACTTACATAGACTCATCCTCCACTTACATAGACTCACCCTCCACTTACATAGACTCATCCTCCACTTACATAGACTCACTCACATAGACTCACCCTCCACTTACATAGACTCACTCACATAGACTCACCCTCCACTTACATAGACTCACCATCCACTTACTAGACTTACCAGTATTTTCTTCCCTTAAACTTGACAAAAATGGTACCACATATTCTTCAATCGTACCAGACCAAACAGTCGCATCCTTCCCATTAATGGGTAAATGTTACAAATGTGAATTTTTGTCACTAGGTTTTATATATTTTTTAAAAAATTAGGCCTGGGTTTGTAATTTTAAAAAAAATAGGCCTGGGTTTGTAATTTTAAAAAATTAAACAAATAGTGTTACGCAGCCTGAAACGTTTGAGAACCACTTGTCTAGTCTATCACTGCTAAATTAGGGACGGCTAGTGCAGATAGCTCTCGAGTAGCTTTGCACGAAATTCAAAACAAGCAAACTAAAATAAGCCTTTATTGAGATATATAAAGACAAGGTTTTGGTTAGTTAACGCAGGCATTCATTGGGTCGTTTGGAAAATATTTTGATTTACTAATGCAGGTCTTCATCGGGACATTTAGAGACAATGTTTGGATTTGCGTACGTGAGTTTCATCATAAATTCCCTATAACTGAATCTTCTTTTAAATAACGTCGTGTTTTCATAGTTTTTATTTTATCTTGTTCTGTTTAATCCGCTTTAAAAATGTCTTATTATATTTTTTATTCGAATTATCTTATTCGTTTGAAATCACGCAACTTAACGTCAGTCGGATTTACAAGCCCAACAACAGTTTCTGGTTTTGCTTTTTGGCATTGTTGTTTTCTTCGACTGAAACAACCTGTTTACAGAATCTGTTTTGTTAACCTACGCGCTGTTTACTTTATAAACCTAAGGTCTGTGGTTTGTATAGTGTAGTAATAACATTGACACACGTTAAAATCAAACATGATTTTAATTTCTCCAACCTTTGTTTTTTTTCTTCTAATTATTTAGAGTTTTATAGGCTTAATACTTTGTTTAGGTTTCTACTAAATTGTGTTTTTTTTTGTGCGTGGGTGGGTGGGTGCTCATCGTTTATCAAGTGAGATGTTGTTTTTGACGTACTGTCTGTGAGTATATATATATTTTTTCTTAATCTAGATAAAAGTTTGGCGTGTTTTATAGTTCCAGATACTTTAATGCAAATAAGATTAACAAGTGATGTAATTAGGACTAGATATGACGCCATAGTTAATTGAAATCATCTTTTAGATAGTCTTCTTAACAAAGTAATATTTCAACTATTATATTTCCATAATAAAGTTATGCCCCCAAATACATTGCGAATCATAACGTGGGTTCAATAAATTGTTAAATACTAGGAATTTTATTACAAAACATTTATTTGTTGAGAGTTTTAAGTTCCTAAGCCTAATCTTCGAAGGACAACTGTCTACTGAATGATGGGGATACGTTTCTTCATAGAATATTTAGACACAACTACTAACCAAGGGATAAAATAAAAAAAGAACGGTTTCAAATATCTGTACTGATGTTAATGTGCAATATGTAGGTAATAACATTTGGTGGTGTATTTTAATAATTCACGTTTTTGTAGCCATACTGATTTAAAGTAGTATTATACTGTAAAACAGTCAAGTGCAATGTAAGACGGTTCCTTTGAAAAGATGTCAAAATGTTTAATTTATGTCACGCTATAACAAATTTCTTTCTCTTGTGAATCAAACGTTTATTGTGAGCCACATTAATTTTTCAAATATATATATAAAGATTATTTTTCGAATCACGAAGTGAAATCGTCTATAAAGGAACAAAATCCTATACATTATATTAACATTGTTTGTTTGTTTGTTGAATTTCGCACAAACCTACTCCAGTGCTAATTACATTAATCTCCCCAATTTAGAAGTGTTAGACAAGAGGGAAGGAAACTAGTGTGAACATCACCAATTATTGGGTTTTTCTAATCGAATAATGGGATTGACCCTAACTTATAACGACTCTACGGTTGAAAGGGCGAGCAAGTTCAGTGATGGGATCAGAACCCGCGATCCACGTCGTATCTAGTACTAATATTATGGTCGGTTGCTAGAAAGATTGGTGTATACATAACGTTCTTTGTGCTTATTGGCTGTTCGAAGATGGGCCGGGCGTGGTCTAGTGGTGAGCGTATCCGGACTGTGATTCCGAACGTTCATGGTTCGTTGCCCGTTTTTGAAAAAAAAAAGAAACGCGTTCCACAATTTGGAGCAGTGGGTGCGTTATAAGAGTAACGATCAAATCCACTATCCAATCAGACAAGAGTAACCCAAAAGCTGGTCGTGGATGGTGTTTACTAGCTGCCTTCTTCCATGGCTATTAGTAAAATTACTCAATATGGCGCAACGTAAGGACCCACTGGTAATGAACGATAGAACAAAGGTCGTTGATTTGGGGGGCTCAATTTATGACGACATGTTAATGTCATATATGGATGGGAAAAGTTTATTTGTTTAGAATTTTCGAGGGCCGAGAAAGTCCAGTGATTAGCACGCCCACCTACAGATATCAGGGTTAATCGTTTGCGCCTTTTTATCACATTTTAATTATTTTTTTTGAAGTACAAATAAAATGAAAATTGTGCTCCATACTTTGGGTGCGTTTAAAGGGTGAAGGTCAAATCTCACTGTTCGGTCAAACAAGAGTTGTCGATGGATGTCCAGTAGTACACCAAAATCAAGAAAGTGGACTCTAGATTATGTAATTTTACCCTTTTTTTTTGTGTTCTGGTTTTCATGAAACAAGTCTTGGAAAATCTTGTAAAAAATACTGTTCATAAGACTTTTTTGGTCGTTATTACTTCGGAAAAGTGGTTATCAAAAAATTATATTTTCAACAAGTCCCCCCCCCCCCATCAAACAACAAAATTGTCAGTGAAAACAAAAAAAAACATTTATTTTAAACAGAAAAACAGAAATATTTTATTTGGAATACATTATATGCTTTAAGTGAAGTTGCAGAAGCTGTGGTATACAAGTGCTAATATTACAGCTTAAAGTCTTAGTAATAAATGTATATAGTGCATTATATCACGTCTGTTTGCGATAAAGGTATCCTTCCGCATTAACAAAAAATTCCAAAACCAGGTGGCGTTACTTTCTGAAAATTCCATTTTTTAAACCTGAAAAGAAAAACAATAATGAAATTTCGTAATATATATATATACATATATATGAACTGAAATAATAGAACCACATTAATAAAGCGTAAACTATCATGATGTACTAATATTCTGTCTGCAAAATCTTTGATTTATCGCTAATATCTTCTGAAATTTGCATTACATGTAACTGTTTCCTATTTTTGATGAATTTTTCTTCTGATGATTATTTTACAGTTTTGTTTGAAATGTAAATATTTTGAAATGGCTAAGATGTCAACGTGTACAGAGGTTGAGTGCGCTATATTAAAACACTTTTGTAGCTTCATTACGTTTGTTACGGGCTATTTCTGTCATGATCTAACTGACGATCGTGGGTAAAGAGACAATATCCCTTCGCCGTAAGTTGGTGCTATCCAAAGCATTATGCTCCTCCTTGCATGTTGTACATAATACTTCAAGTGTACAAGAACGATGGCTTTCCAAAAGCGTTTTAACAGTCTGGTTGCAGAGAATTCTATAGCCTCTGTTTGTCCAGCAACTTGACCTTTATGAATTTTTATAGAATAGCATGGATGCCTGTTTCATTCTCAAACTGTTTGAGATATGCAACGGTTGAAAGGATATGTCATTGGAAGAAATTTGTCTATACTTTACTTGTTGGAGATAATGGATATGTCATTGGTGTTTGATTGATTGAAGTTAAGCACAAAGCTACACATTGGGCTATCTATGCTCTGACCACCACGGGTATCGAAACCCGGATTCTAGCGTTATATGTCATTGGAAGAAATTTGTCTACACTTTACTTGTTGAAGATCTTTCTTGATAAAGGTACGCACTTTTGCCTGAGACAAGTGGGCGGGTTTTGCCACTGATGTTACAGATGCTTACGACTTTTTTGTAGAACTCTTTTTGGGTGATCTTGGTACCCGAAGTTGATCCATATTCTTTTACTTCCCATTGCCATTAAGCACAAGGTGGATCCCCGGCTTGGATATTCTAAATCACCGATCTGAACACATCTTTATGAATTGATGATGTAAATATTTTGCGTCGGGAATGGCTGCTCTAAACTCTTTCCAAAAGCGATGACTTTTCGGCGATATCAAACATAAAAAAAATGTCCACATGTATTTCTGTTACTTGTCGTACCACCACGAATTTATATCGGCTGTGGTTGTCACGTGACTTGCTTATTTGCACATTCAAAATCAGTTAAATTTAACGCACACAATCCTCTGTATAAAATCTTAAATCCCCACCCCCTAATCCATTGCTGATAAGGACTTTGCTTGATAATGCAAAGAAGTAAGCTACCGAGAATAGCCAAGTATGTAGCATTATTCATAGATTAGGAAAAATCTTCTATTCGAAACGTTTAAACACATAGTTCATAAATAGGGAAAAATCTTCTATTCGAAGCGTTTAAACACACAGTTCATAAATAGGGAAAAATCTTCTATTCGAAACGTTTAAACACATAGTTCATAAATAGGGAAAATATTCTATTCGAAACGTTTAAACACATAGTTCATAAATAGGGAAAATATTCTACTCGAAACGTTTAAACACAAAGTTCATAAATAGGGGAAAAATCTTCTATTCGAAACGTTTAAACACATAGTTCATAAATTGGGAAAAATCTTCTATTCGAAACGTTTAAACACACAGTTCATAAATAGGGAAAAATCTTCTATTCGAAACGTTTAAACACACAGTTCATAGATTAGGAAAAATCTGTTCATAGTTCGTAGTTCATAAATAGGGAAAAATCTTTTATTCGAAACGTTTAAACACATAGTTCATAGATTAGGAAAAATCTTCTGTTCGAAACGTTTAAACACATAGTTCATAAATAGGGAAAAATCTTGCTTGTGTCCATGTTACGCGGCAAAAATCACAAAACAAACAACAACAAAAATCAGGATTATTATTCAAACAACTTTTTTAAAAAACCTCACATTAGTGACGATATCGATAAAAAAATCATAAAACTATTGAAACAGGTTTTGTTTTGCCATAAATATTTTCATATCGACCCGGAGTCTTTGATAATTATTTGCATTAAATTTATTAAGTTTGCTCTTTGTTTAAGAGTAAAAAGACTTATGAAATAGAGTAAACTAAGTGCTTGAAGGTGATGAAATAATATTTCCTCTTTCCTTCAATAAAAATATAGTTTACTCAGTATAAACTTCTTTCGTCTCGTCTTACTCCAGTGTAAGTTACTGAATGATTATGTTGTTACAGCTTACGTTTACTCTTTCCTTATATGTATAATACTGAAAATTATAATATATTCTCTATATAACGTAGGCTACTTTTAGCGTAAGTAATTAAAATAGTTACCATGACTAATTATATTGGCTGTTTTACGTGGAATAGTCATTCAACTTTCCTGGAGCTATCATAACCTTCGTGGTTATAATGATTTTTTTGGGGATCGTAATAATGTTGTTGAACTTCAGGAGATCTTACAACAGTGCCTCCACCCAGGGAATCCAGTGACCTGACAACAGTGCCTCCACCTAGGGGATCTAGTGACCTAACCACGGTGCCCCCGCCTAAAGGATCCAACGATCTAACGACAGTGCCACCACCAAGAGGATCTAATGACCTAACAACAGTGCCTCCACTTAAGGAATCCAGGGATCTGACAATGGTGCCTCCATTTAAAGGATCCAGAGATCTAGCAAACTTATTGTCACCTAAGGCAGCTAAGGATCTAACAACAGTGCCTCCACCTAGGGGATCCAGTGACCTAACAACAGTGCCTCCACCTAGGGGATCCAGTGACCTAACAACAGTGCCTCCACCTAAGGGATCCAGTGACCTAACAACAGTGCCTCCACCTAGGGGATCCAGTGATCTAACAACAGTGCCCGCGTCTAAGGAATCCAGTGACCTAACAACAGTGCCTACACCTAAAGGATCTAATGACCTCACAACGGTGCCTACCCCTAAAGGATCTAACGACCTCACAACGGTGCCTACACCTAAAGGATCTAATGACCTCACAACGGTGCCTACACCTAGGGGATCTAGAGATCGAAGTACAGTTCCTCCATTAAGCGGATCTAAAGACCTTGAACTCGGGCTGTTGGATTTGTGAAACTTTTGATGCAGCACCTCCGACAGTTTCAAGAGAGCGTTATTGAATGCTTTGCTGCGGTGATTCTCGTTTTCCTGAAGAAGAAGAAAAAGAAAATATTAAACTTAATTGTTTTTGACGATTACATAAATGATTTAAACAAGCAACAAAAGTTAGCTAAATTCTAGAAGTAGTTCCGAATTTATGTGGTCTGGTGTTTATAAATCAAATCCGTAGTTCTTAATCCTGCAAGATAATTTCCCTCTAAGGCCGCCTGGAGTGAGCATCTGTTTTATCCACTCGCACCACTATACAGTAGCGTGTTGTCTGTCAATCAGTCAGTAGACACTAAACTGGAGTCACATAAGGGACGCTTAACGTTGCAATTTGACTTGTAGTGACGTGAGTAAAACGTGCGCATGCCATGAATCGCGAGAAAAATCATGCACTCTGTAGGTTACAACACAGCATGACAGATGAACTTCAAAAGCAAGAAATAAAAATATTTGTTACTCTTAATTTTGGTTTTATTTACCCTTGAAACAGGGCACTTTCGGGGACCCTATGGAAGTACATTTAATATAAGCATTTATTTTATTTAATTACCACATTGGAAATTATTGGTCGTTTTCTTTCAACCATTTAGAAGTCCTGATTGGACAACTTGACATTAGAAAACAACAAATGATTTTGATATATATTTACCATACTTGAGATGAAAAAAAAACTCATTTATTTCAATGTTCATAAAACGAATCATATTAAAACTATTATTGAATACGTTCGAATAGTCTTTTGTTTAAAGCAACTACAACATCGTATCTTTGCTCATTTAATTTGTTATATATAGTGTCCTCTGGCGGTTAAGCAGTTAGCTTGAGAACGTATAACTCTATAATTCGGGGCTCTGTCGACTCGACGGACATACTGCGCACTGTGTAGCTTCTAAAACAACAAATAATGTGTATTGTGTAACGATCCTTATATGGTAATGACACGCCAGCTCTGATTACACTCTAATCAACCTCCTCCTCCCCATCAGCTGACGACATTTGTACCTCCTCCTCCTCCCCATCAGCTGACGACATTTGTATTTCCTATATAGCAGCACTTTTGTTATCTCTCTTTTCAGACCAAGCAAGTTGCATGAATGGCTGAAGAAATAACAGTTAAAGCGCTTGTTTTACGTAAAACTACAAGTATAATGCACCACCACCACCCCCCTCTTGTTCAGGGCATTTGTTTGTACTACCCCTTGTAATAGGAATGATGCAGCTGTTCGCGCTTTATATGCAGATGACCTGAAAAACTTGAAAGGTTTCGTTAAAGTACACCCAGTTCTAAGCATTTGTTTGTCTGAAGTTAAGCACAAAGCTACACAATGGGCTATCTGTGCTCTGCCCACCATGGGTATCGAAACAAACACTGTTTCTAGTGTTGTAAATCCGCAGATATACCGCTGTGCCACTGAGGGGGGGGGGGAGACGGTTCTAAGTATCATATATACAACTAACTGGAGCACCCGTCCTCTTGACGGTTATGTAAATTCGTGATTAATGAAAGGTTATCTTAGGACATGAAATTGCCCCCCAGTAGCACAGCGGTATGTCTGCGGACTTACAACGCTAGAATCCGGGTTTCGATACCCGTGGTGGGCAGAGCACAGATAGCCCTTTGTGTAGCTTTGTGCTTAATTACAAATAATAATAATAATAAGGACATGAAAAGTTGCTTCCCTTAGATGTAATTGTGGAAAACGCCCATAAAAACTGCAAAACAAAATGTGAAACCGCACGTTTACGTGTATTTCCGCACGGACCCAACAAACCCTCATGCGAAATTTGGTGAAGATCCATCCACAGGAGGCGAATTAGTGGTAAAAAATGCAAAAACGCTAATTAAAAACGCAAAATGCAATACTGAAAATTTGTATGTACCAACGCATGGACCTAATGCATCTCCATATCAATTTTGGTAAATGTCCATCCGCATACAACAGACAGTATTATTATATTAATATTGATTCAATCAGATTTGACAGAGTACTGAAAACTTGGCTGACGGTTCTGGATGTCTTGATAGACGTCTAAATCAGTTACGTTAGCAATTTATATTTCAGTCGCTCTGATTGGACAGTTAATTTTTAAATATCGATTGCGATATTGAAATACTTTTTTATTTATTTGTTTGTTAAGCGCAAAGCTACACAATGGCTGTACCCACCACGGGTATCGAAACCCGATTTCTAATGTTATAAGCTCTCAGACTTACAGCTGAGCTACCGGGGGTTTGAAGTCCAACTGATGTGAAGTGTTGTTAAACTTGACGCAAAGAAAATGTTCTGATCAGTAGAAAGTAATTCTGGCATGATTTATGTGCCAGGAGTGTGAATCCACGGATTCATGTTTCGCGACCTGTTGTCGCAAAAACACGCTCTGCTATAAGAGTGGCTGTTAAATTCCACTTTTCAATCGGATAAAGGTAGCCGAAGAGTTGACGGTGTGTGCTGTTGACTGGTTACTTTCCTTCTAGTGACCTAGCGGTGTCCAACAGTTTTTTTCATAATCGCCCAAATTGTGTTGACATTTTCGCCACACGACAAAAAAAAATAAAAAAAAATAACTGTTTTTATAGATATAGAGGGGTAGAAAAATAAACAATAACGTTTTCAATTATTTATTGATAGAATTAATGAGAAATCTGACATATCTTTTCATTAAGTAGTGCAGGGAATTCAGGCATAAAATCAGGCAGACTACATTTCAATTCTGCCTCCAAATTTTCGTCCATTAAATGCAATCTATATTTTGATTTTTACCGCAGAGAAAGTAAGGTTTCTCAAGTATTTTATTCTCAAAATAAATAAATAAAAAAGTGGACACTTTTTTTAAAGTGGTACATGTATAAATGAATTTTGTTAAAAATTTTATCTAAAAAAAATAGGTGGTAGAAGTAAAACACTAATTCGCCACAGGTCAATAGCCATTTCGCCACATGTGGCGAGTGGCGACCATGTTGGACATCGCTGTAAATCCAGTCTATCGAAGCAATATTAAGAAGGGCTATGTGCAGATTTTCTTGTGTGGCTTAGCTCGAAATTCTGGTTTGGTTTGAATTTCACGCAAAGCTACACCAGAGCCATCTGCGCTAGCCGTCTCTAATTTAGTAGTGAAAGACTAGAGGGAAGGCAGCTAGTCAACACCATCTACCGCCAACTCTTGGGATACTCTTTTATCAACGAATAGTGGAATTGACCGTCACATTATAACGTCCCGACGGCTGAAAGGGAATTCGAACACGTGGCCCTCAGTTGACGGGGGCAGAAAATTTGTTTTTCAGTCTTCATTTACGCGTGTGATGCTATATTGGGATGAAGTCAACTTACGAGAATCGTTCATCTCGAAAGATTTTGTTATCGGCAATATGGATTTCCAAAAGATAAAGTTAGAACAGGACTATAAAATAAAACTTTTCTTTTCTTCTCCAAATTGATGGAGAAAGAAATAATGTAGGTGATACTAATTCGACAAACTTGCTCATCTTGTTCATTTATCACTTTGTTAATCTCTAGAAACATTCACGGCAAACAACTATCAGACAGTTTTCACCCACGCCCGCGCTCCTACCGATACGGGTTTTCTGAAATATGTCGATTAGTACGTCATCGACACAGATCCGTTAATCCTATCCGTGTGTGTGTGTGTGTATGTGTGTCTATTTTAGTATTTGTCCGGAAAAGGTGAAATCAAGCATGAATCAATAGGGCTATACAGACAGGGATTTGGAGCTAGTGTAAATATATCATATTTCACGAGTCCACAATGTGTGTGTGTGTGTGTGTGTTTTTGTTTGTAAATGAAAACATTTGATCCTGTTTTGTTTACCTGTACGAGAGCTCCGAATTTCAGAAGTTTCATAAATCTATCTATTCATGAGAAATCCATGCTTCAAAGCATCTTGTCTGTCTGTGTGTCTGTCCATAAAGAAAAGTTTATAACTCCCGACTTCTGATCGCCAGCAAACGTTCAGGGGCTGTTAGATATGCTCTATAGGAAAATCTTACCTTGTTTGTTGTTTGGAGTTAATAAAGTTCTCCTGAATAGGCTTTTAAAATATTTATTTGACACACCTTGGTAGCCACTCTTCTCCCAGTGGCACAGCGGTAAGTATGAAGGCTTATAACGCTAAAAATCGAGTTTAGATACTTGTAGTTATTATCATTAAAATGCACTTAAACAAAATGAAATAAAAATATCCACTTTGTTTGCTTAAGTTGCACTGTGGGCTACCTGAGCTTTGGCCACTGCAGGGATCGAGCCCCAAATGTTAGCATTATAAATCCTCAAGCTTACCGCTGAATCATCGCGGGGTAATATTCAATTCTATCAAATTCTCGCGTAATTTTTTTTTTTTTAAATAGGGTATATTAAACCCCTAGGGCTCAAGTTTAATCGTTCCTGATTTTGAAATCCTAAACCTAGGGAGGGACTTCGGTCTTTTAGAAACTCTCAAAACTTGGACCAACCAGTCCGCAGCCTGACACAATAACCACGAGGCTACGCCCGGATCAGTTGACACAAACATTTGTCCGATGTTCTTTTTAGAAACAAACACTGAATATGTGGTTAATTTTGTCAGTATACTTTCTTTCAGTCAACGTGTCTGCCCCCCCTTGATAATTGGTTATTATTATAATTTTTTTATGAATACTTAACTAATTAGATGAAATATTATTCTTTTCCGTATTTAATTATGTAAGGCTACTGATTGAAAAATGTTGCATGCGATGTGAAATATTTCCCCTCTGTGCAAATTTACATACAAACAAATCCTGTCATCCTTCTTAGCGTGATGATTGTAATTTGTAGGTTAATCCTTTTCTTCTAAGAAAACAAAAACAAAAATTCTTATAGCCTTAAAAATAGTACACATTTTATGAAATTATTTGTTAGAGATATATCTTTGAGAAAACGTTAATATTTCAAAATAGGATTTATAAAAACAACTTATTCTATTTATTCATGAACTCCCAATTCTATAATATTAAACTTCTACGAATGTTCTTTGCAGTAGTTTTTGTGGCCTACTTTTCTTTATAAATGAACTTGGCGTATCTTAGTTTGTAGCATGTTAGACTGTGATTCTGAGGATTCCTGGTTCGCGTCCTGTTGTTGCAAAAACGAGTAATGTTCACGTCACACTAGTCAAATAGACAAGAGTAGCCCAACAGTTGGCGGTTGGTGTTGTTTACTACCTGCCTTCCATTTAGTCTGTCGTTCAAAATTAGGGACGCCTGTGCGCAGAAAGCCTTCTAGCAAGTTTATGCAAAAATTCTCAAAGTTATAAAAGGTATTTCGTAGTTACAGCTATTTGTACGGAGTAGAAAGTCTTCCCTTAACATTTTTAAAGCTATTTGTACGGAGTAGAAAGTCTTCCTTTAACATTTTTACAGGTATTTGTACGGAGTAGAAAGTCTTCCCTTAACATTTTTACAGGTATTTGTACGGAGTAGAAAGTCTTCCCTTAACATTTTTACAGCTATTTGTACGGAGTAGAAAGTCTTCCCTTAACATTTTTACAAGTATTTGTACGGAGTAGAAAGTCTTCCCTTAACATTTTTAAAGCTATTTGTACGGAGTAGAAAGTCTTCCCTTAACGTTTTAATTGTGAATTTTGACCCACTGAATCTGTATGAAAATATATCATAATTCAAAAGACGTAATAACTCGGACGGTGTTGTAGGGTTAAACGAGCCAACGAATTCTTACCAAAACTGAATTGCCTAACCTCGACCCCCCCCCCTCCTCTCGATTTGTGATGAATTAAATTACGTGCAATTAGGTTTAAAAAACAAATCTACGGACGGGGGAGATAGATGGATGATTGAATAGATAGATTTATATTATTGTGTCGGTTGTGATGCAAATTCTTTGAATCAGTAAACAGGATAAAAATTCGTACTCTACATTTGGCAAAAGTGATTTGTTTATTTTTGAGCACAAAGCTACACAAGCTTTCTGTGCTGTGCCCACCACGTGTATCGAAACCCTGTTCTTAACATTAAAAAGGGAGGGGGGGGCAGCAACAATGGGATAAAATTACTGATTTTAAGTAATTCATCGAATTTCTGATAACCTGTTGTTTTTCAATATTACTCACCTGGGTTGGTCTGCAATAGACGAATTGAACAGTCAAGCTCACTAACAGAACGATAATTCGTAAGTTGGTTCCCATCGTGGATCCAAGTTTCAGTGGTAGAACTTAAAAAATCCCTCAAAACTGTGGCTAGTCTAGCTCTAGGATCTCTTGGGGTTAGTGGAATACAGTATTCCGTAGGAATCGTGTCGTCCTTTTATCTGAACACATTACTGGTGCATTCGAAGCGTGACATAAGTCGGCGACCAATCACAGTTCGTATTGGATATGTGTTTTGGGATTTTCTTTATCCTGCACGTCCATTCCTGTTGCTGCAAAGGGTATGACGTTGTCTATGACGTTGTTTCTGGTAGCTCCTGCGGTAGTTATCACCAGGCCCTGCACCCCCCCCCCCACGAAAAAAAAAGAGGAAGAAACATCACTGATATTAAGTATTGATATACTGACAAGATAGTAGGGAAAAACAGAGTGTCATAAATTTCGAGGGTTTTGAAACAAGATCGTTTATTGACACACCTGTTCTGTTGCTATATTTCTCTCAGGGTAATCAATGGTTCGTGAACAGGCTCGATACTGACGTTCTATTAATACCTTGTTAACTTTAGATAAAGAAGAGGTTACTAACGGTAAGTTGATTATTTTACTTTTAAAAGAATAACAAATTAAAGCACATTTGGTTTAAAATATAATGACTTTAAAGACTATTGATGTACATTCACTGACAGTTTTACACTTCACGGGGGGCGTTTTCCGCTTCATTTGCCCGAAAGGTGGCTTCAAAACATGATTGAAGTGATAATTTTTCATTAGGACATGAAACAAAAGAAACGTTTAAACCTTTGTCTTCAGAACACACAAAAAAAACACATATCTATATTGTTCTATAAGGAGACATGTTGTAGAATTCAAATAGAAAACAAAAGATTTATTTAATTTTGAACACTTTATTCATTGTAATATGTTTATTTAAGAATACTAAAACCATTCTGCGAACTGATTTTAAAGTTCAACAGAGAATGTTAAGCCACAGTATACGACGTAAACTACCTCAATCTGGGTCGCTTATACAGGGTGTTTGAAAAACTGTCAAAGAAGATGTTCAATCATTCTCCATCAGCATATCGAGACTATCCCTAACTGAAGCTACTCAAATCATCATTTGTTGTGAACAGTGTACATTCAGTCTTACAATGACCTGCGCAATGACACACATTTTATTACAATCACCAGTCTTCTGTTGCTGAAAAAGAAGAGAAATAAGAACAATGCCAATTTACGAGAAAAGCGATTTAGGAATGCAATTTGTTTGTTTATTTGTTACGGATTTCGCTCAAAGCTACACGAGGGCTATCTGCGCTAGCCGTCCCTAATTTAGCACTGTAAGACTAGAGGGAAGGCACCTAGTCATCACCACCCACCGCCAACTCTTGGGCTACTCTTTTACCAACGAATAGTGGGATTGACCGTCACATTATAACGCCCCCACGGCTGAAAGGGCGAGTATGTTTGGTGGGACGGGGATTCGAACCCGCGACCCGCAGATTGCGAGTCGAGCTCCTAACCACCTGGTTATGCCGGTACCTATTTTATGGGTGATGTTTTCTTTTGTGGAAACTAAGGAACTAACATTTCAACTTACTTGAATAGATTCGATTAATTTACATAGTTTTCTTTAACTAGAAACTTTGGAGAATTAGCCATCTTACGCCCCCGAGTGGCGTAATTCCAAACAAACAAAACAAATAAACAAATAAACGTTTTGATTCTGACAGTGTTAACAAAAAAATAAACATTTCTTTTCTAATCACTTTCCTCTCATTTTTCTTTACCTTTTATTTGGCCCAGCATAGGTGGTTAGGGCGCGCGACTCGTAATCTGAGGGTCGTGGGTTCGAATCCCCGTCACACCAAACATGCTCGCCCTTTCAGCCGTGGGAGCGTTATAATGTTACGGTCAACCCCACACTATTCGTTGGTAAAAGAGTGGTGGTGATGACTAGGTGCCTTCCCTCTAGTCTTACACTGCTAAATTAGGGACGGCGAAACTCAAAAACAAACAAAATAACCGATTAATACATTAGCTACCTTAACCATTAGTAACATTGTTTATAGTCATTGCTTAGTAGAATAAATAAAACGCTAAGTTCACTGTCTTTAAATCTTCTATTTTTACGTTAGAATAATGTATTTTGAATCAGTGTTTTTGGATTTGTCTTCCAAGTTGAAATTAAACTGCAAATATTTTACGCAAGACTATTGAACTTTTCCTAGAACTATAAGTACAACGCAGTTTACAAGTTTCTAAACAGTATTCCTGGTAAACTTTAGTTCATAGATATGTGTGTATTATACAGTATTGTTCCCCAAAATAGCTCTGTAAACATTGAAGACAACGAAGAAACTGTATTCTAGCTTGACATGTTTTATAATTACATTTTCAGGCTAAGGTCGTCTATTTTCGACATCTGATCTTTATCAGTGAAATATATCAAGGTACTTACTTCTTGTCTCATTTCGGGTTTGAAGAGTATAACACCCCCTTATTGTTAGTTTAATTATTTTCTTCCCACAAAATTAGTTTTATATAATTCCCCATTTTCATAAACATTTGTGAACATTGTACTGTGGACTATAATTTCGTTGAGTTGGATAAGAAACTAATATTTTTACTGTTTTATTGAACCTTTGAACCGATATTTCTCCTTGTTGCCTGTTTATGGCGCAAAAACGTTTAGGACATTTTTATTTTTGTTGAATTTTTCATGTATTTAGTAGCATTTGTAATATTTATAGGTATGGAAAAAGACACGTCCTACACCAACTTATAACACATTTGATAAGCAAATAAAATTATAGAATAATGATATATATATATACAATGAAATTAAAACCTTTTTAGACTTGTATTCAACATTTCTGGAGACACAACCTAAAATCCCAACTGCCTCGCCACTATTAACAGCACATTGCTTGGATGGTTCAAGAGACTAGTCCACTAGAACAGTGGTTTCCAAACTCTTTTAGTCTGAGGCTCCCTTGATGTGAATAAAAAAGCTTGAGGCCTCTCAACCTATAAAAATGCCTTAAAATGTGATTTTAAAATGCCCACTCCCACTACTTTAGCATGATGATTGAAAAACAGTGCCGTAGTAAAAACAATAACATCTCCTTTCAACATACTGTATCATTTAATAACATAATTTTTATCGGCTTATTATCTATTTAGAAGTAAAGTTAATTCAGCATCTTTGTTTTCGCCCATTTTTGGCGGCCCCCCAGAAAAAGCTTCACGGCCCCCAGGGGGGCCGCGGCTCACACTTTGGGAAACGCTGAACTGGAGCATCAAGATCCTTTTCTTCTATGACACTGTTAAAGTTACTCCAATGAAAATTATACTCCTAATTCAAGTTGTGACATTCCACATGCATTACCTAGCATTATTATAATTCAAATTCCTCTGCCATTTATTTCTCCAACTCATCAATAATCCGAATCCTTTTGTGAAACAGCTGCATCCTCCTCACAGTTAGCAACACCTAAAACTTTAGCATCATACCTATTGCTTAGCCACATGATGGATTAAAGTTTTCATCTTGGTTCATCTCAAGTTGAAATAAATTATTAACACTTTTTCAATGCAAGATAATCTACTTACTGATAAAGCTATTCATCCTTTAAAAAAAATAAACAAAATTAAAATTAGAAATAGGATCAACGTTTAAAATGCACGATGAAAATTTTATTTGGCTTAGGGCCAAAATTAGAAGACTTCGTGTTTCGGTGGCTTTACACTACCATTATCAGGACTTCTGGTAATGGTAGCGTAAAGCTACCGAAACATGTAAATGTATGGAGTCTTTTAATTTTGGCCATCATTATGCATTTTAAATGTTGATCCTATTTTTAATTAAAAATGTATTACACTAGTTGTCTTGCTTGGATTTTCACAACCATTTTCTTTCTTTATGTTATATTAAAGCAGTGGGCTTGGTAGATATGGTTCGAATCTCCTCATCAAACATACTTGACATTTCAGCTGTGGATGTGTTATAATGTGATGGTCAATCCCATTATTCGTTGGTAAAGCTACACGAGGGCTATCTGCGCTAGCCGTCCCTAATTTAGCAGTAAAAGACTAGAGGGAAGGCAGCTAGTCATCACCACCTTCCGCCAACTCTTGGGCTACTCTTTTACCAACGAATAGTGGGATTGACCGTCACATAATAACGTCCCCATGGCTGAAAGGGCGAGCATGTTTAGTGAGACGGGGATGCGAAATTCAACAGTGGAGAGCTATTGATTTTCAATATTAAAGCGATCCAACTTTTAACAAAACCACGAATCTTTTGAGGCCGAAATATTCCAATATCTCCTTTTATCGACAGAGTGACATATAATTAATGTATATATATATATTAATAATGAAAATAGGAAGCCTTTGAGAGGCAAATTATAATAATAATAATAATTGTGTTATAAAGTTTATTTTATACGTAATCGCAAATTTGTTGTTTTGGGGTGATACACCTCGAAGAACATGCGATAATAGAAAGGTGTCTGAGTTTGTTCGATTCGGCATATTTTTAATACATATATCATTGATAAACTTTCCGTTGACCGAGCCAAATCGTCAGATGACTAGAAACTTTAATCGACTAATAGCCAAGGACAAGAAGCAATGTTTAATTTGTTTTTTTTTACAAGTTTTAAGTATTTTTTACTCCAGAATTATTTTCGAAACAACAAGGTGAGTGAAGTATTAGACTAGAATAACAGGTATTTTAATTCTATTCTACAAAAATTACTTGGAGGTGAAAGTTAAATAAATTAGGTATATTTTTCACTTAAAGTTTGCTAAAAAATGAAACTTTTCTAAAGCATTTAGCTAAAAGACAGATCAAAGTGGCATGTTTAATAATTATATTGATATAAATTTATGGTATATATAACAGTTCAATCTGAAAACCATAATACTTTAATTACATGATTTTCATGCATGCAAGCGCTCGTTTTTAAACTTGAGCTTACTCAGCATATTCCTAACACTATCGTGATATTCAGTAAAATATAACTGAGGGGTTTTGAGAATTTTTATTTTCATTTTTCTCGCTACTAGGTAGCGCTTTGTAGATTTCCAGGCGGTAATTGTTTCGGATATACATATTTATAAGCT